TTTTCCGGGAGTTGAATCCAGTGCAGGGTGACGCGCTTGGATCGGGCCTAGCGTGAAAACCAGGCCTGAGCCTCCCGTTTTCTACCAAATGAGCTAAAACCGGGGTTTTTCAAGAGATTTAAAGCCAGGTGGGGAGGAGGATAAAACGAGGGGTCACGTCCCGCTCACGCCGCCCCTCGGCTTTCCAGGTGAGACCCCCCGAAATCCCTCCGGCCTCAGCGCGCTGCCGGGGTCCCGCCGCCATGGCGTCGCCGGCCGTCAGCCCCGACTCGTCCTCCCACGAAGGCCTTTCCTCCGTCAACTCAGCCCCGGCCTGCTCGCCCACTTCCGACTCGGAAAACCTCAGCCCGGATGAACTGGAGCTGCTGGCGAAGCTGGAGGAGCAAAATCGGTGAGTTCCGGGGGAAATACGCCCCGTTTGGGGCGAATATTTCCTGGTTTTGGGGGAATCTCTTCCTTTGGGGCTGTTTTGGGGAAATATCTCCCATTTTGGTGAAATCTCTTCTCCTTGGAAGCTGTTTGGAGGGAATATCCCCTGGTTTTGTGGCAATCTCTCCTCCGTTGGGGCTGTTTTGGGGGAATATCTCCTTTTTTTGGGATGGTTTTGGGGGAAACTCTTCTTTGGGGCTGTTTTGGGCGCAGTGTCTCCTGGTTTTGGAGGAATCTCTCCTTCTTTGGGGCTGTTTTAGGGGAATATCTCCTTTTTTTGGGATGGTTTTGGGGGAAACTCTTCTTTGGGGCTGTTTTGGGCGCAGTGTCTCCTGGTTTTGGAGGAATCTCTCCTTCTTTGGGGCTGTTTTAGGGGAATATCTCCTTTTTTTGGGATGGTTTTGGGGGAAACTCTTCTTTGGGGCTGTTTTGGGCGCAGTGTCTCCTGGTTTTGGAGTAATCTCTCCTTTGAGGCTGTTTTGGGGGAATATCTTCTTTTTGGGATGGTTTTGGGGGAATCTCTCCTCCTTTGGGGCTGTTTTGGGGAAATACGTCCTGGTTTGGGTGCAGTATCTCCTATTTTGGGGATGGTTTGGGGGGACTCTCTCCTCCTTTGAGGATGTTTTTGTTTTGGGTGCAGTATCTCCTGGTTTTGGAGGAATCTCTCCTTCTTTGGGGCCGTTTTGGGGGAATAGCTCCCTTTTTGGGATGGTTTTGGGGGAATCTCTCCTCCTTTGGGGCCCTTTTGGGGGAATAGCTCCCTTTTGGGGATGGTTTTGGGGGAATATCTCCTCCTTTGGGGCTGTTTTGGTGGAGTATTTCCTATTTTGGGGAAATCTCTTCTTTGGGGCTGTTTTGGGTGCAATATCTCCTGGTTTTGGAGGAATCTCTCCTT